TTTTGTTTTTGAGACAGGATGTCTCTGTATTGCTTTGAAGCCTGTCCTGACACTCACTCTGTAGACCAGGCTGGCCTTGAACTCACACAGATCCACCTGCCTCTGCCTCCTGAGTTCTGGGATTAAAGGAGTGTGCCATCAATGCCTGGTTTCTAAAATAACTTTAAATTTATATCAATATGCCAAAATCCATGCCAATGCAAAATATCTGAGATAATATCTGTCTTTTTATCCTATATTCCTATATTTTCCTGAATGATAACAGACATCTATAAGCCACCAAATAACCAATAACTACCTTTTCCATCTCTTGGGATTGTGAGCATCGTGTTCTCCAGGCTGCTTCCTGTTGACTGTGGGTAAAGGCATCCTTAGAGTTCCCTGAGAAAAAATTGAGATAATTGCCAAGTCCTGGGAACACCAGTGGTAAATTTTCTTGATATAAATCACCTGTCAATATTTAGGAGTTCTTCCCCAATCAAAAGTAATTTATATCAACCTGGAATAAATCCACAGCCTCTCAATTCCTGTGGAAATAAAAGCAAAACACTTTCTCCAAAGCAATGCATTTTTACTTCTTTTTAAATATATAATATAGCCAAAAAGTCTTTTTTTTTGGTTCAACTTAGCAGTCCAGCTGACAATCCCATATCTGTCAGCAGCTGTCATTTGCTTGAAAAATTCAAGGTCAATATAGCCACATACAGGATCCAGACTCCCTGTGTATTTCCTATCTCTACCCTGCTTATGCCTTTTTAAAAATATTACTTCACTTTTGGCTTTAAAGACTTTATTTTTACTTTAAAACTATATATTGCCTCTGGGATTTTACCTTTTAATATTCTTTGTCCTTTATTTCCTTTTTACTCCATGGATGGCTGGGTGTCTTTCCACAACATCCTTCTCTCCTTTTCATTTTCTTGCTCTTCTTCTCTCACCTGCCTCCCATTTATTCTCTCTGCCTGCCAGCCCCACCTATCCTTTCTCCTGCATAGATATTGGTCATTCAGCTGTCTATTAGACCAATCAGTTGTTTTAGACAGTCATAGTAACACAGCTTTAGAGATAAACAAATGCAACAAAAATAATGGAAAACAGCTTTGTATCATTAAACAAATGTTCCACAGCATAAACAAATGTAACACATCATAAAATAATATTCCACAATATAAGTTCTTTGAGTGAAAAACATTGACTCAGACAAATAGCATGATTTGTTGCTTAAAATAAATGTCTGTATTGTCTTTCAAAGTAGACAGCATGTATTGGCACAGAAATAGTTAAAGCACTGTTAGTGTATCACAAATCACAAATTTTTCTGTTGGATCTCAGAAGACACACATGTTATTTTTGGTTGTGAGCCTAGCCTTTAACGGCTGAGCTAGCCCTTCAATCCCAGAAGACACACATGTTATAGGGTATATGCCCTTAAAGAAATGCATGGAACAGGTAGAATTTGTAATTTGTAGGCATAAATTCCTGTTGGAATTTCCTTGCTCTCTCATCCCTCCCCCTCTCGCTCTCTCTCTCCCCCCCACACACACACACACACACGCACACACACACACACACACACACACACACACGTACACAAATGTCACATAAAATTAAAGCCATTGCAGTAAAGAAAGAGAAGGTTTTCTAGTTTGCTGGTTTGCTTCTTTGATGACCAATCAGAGGAAGGGACTTATTTTAGTTTATAGGTTATAATCCACTATGGAGGAAGCCAGGAAGCCACAGCATGAATGTGGCCACAGAACTGAAGTAGAGTCTATGGAGGATCGCTCTTACTAGCTTGTTCCCCATGGTTTACTAAGCTTGTATTTTTATACAGCCCAGGGGCATCTGTCCTGGGATGACACTGCCAACATTGGGATGCAATGCCCCAAATTAGTCATTAATCAAGAAAATGACTTTAGGCCAATCTGATGGAGATAATTCCTTAATTGGAGTCCCCATTTTTCCAGGGATTCCAGTTCGTGTCAAATTGACAAAAACTAATCAGCACAACAGAAAACAATCTTTATTTTTCTGAAATTATTACTTCTTGAAAACAATTTTGGCTTGCCCATTATCCTGGTATTCTCTTCAACATTATTTAACACAGAAACATTTAATTTAGATGGTTCCCAAACTGTTTATTTTTAAGTAATAGTAATTTAAAAATTGCAGTTCAAGAAATCAAAGAAATTATTTCCAATTTTATTGTTTCATGTGTGCAATGAGCCCATGATGAATCTCTTGGTTTCAATATCATTAGAAATTTCCATTTTAATTAGTATGTATTTAAGGTATATTATCTATATAAACTGAACAGATTTAAAAACAAGGAGATAAATGGTGCTATTTTAAATTAAAAATGATGGCTGGTCAGTGTATTGCTTGATAACTGCCAGTACCTGTCTTTACAAGTTGTAAAAACTATTAATAATTTTATTTTCTTCTTAAAATTGAATATTTCTTGAGCTGGTAGAGTCAGCACATTTGTCAACCATGTTAAGACCTTAGATTTAAAAAAGAAGAACTTAGATTCAATTCTCAAGAATGCCAATAATGAAGAAAAAAACAAAGACCACAGCACTTCAACATTTTCTGAACTACACAATAACCTGATAATTTTAATATTTTGAGATTTAATTATGCAGAAACATAAAAGATTTGAGATTTTACATAAATATATAAGGAACCCCTTCTATGAGTTCTCGATCACCCCATTGTACATATAAGTATTGTAATATAACTCAGTACAGCCTCAATTACAGTATTGCTTGGAAAATACAGCACACAGAGAATCAACTGTAGATTTTCTTTTCTAGGTTTCAAAATGCCATAACAATTTAAGGTGATACAGTAAGGGTACTCAAAAATATATAAGATACATAGGAGTTGTCTGGATAATTTATAGTTTTCTGATAGTATTAAAATATTGAATTGACATCAAATTCAGATACAAGTTAAAATGAGACATTTTAGATATATACCGAAATTTTTTAAGATTAAAGCATGTAACCCTAATATAATTAGTAAAGGATGATATATGAAAAAATACTTTTAATGTGCTTCTGCAAATAGGTCAGTATGATTAGAGAACATTTCATGTATATTTATATGACTTTCCTTAACTTTTCTCAGTTTTTAAATTCAATGTTATATCTTTTTAGCATACACTTTAAAGTTGTGGAAAAGTTTTCTATGGGAGGTTTTTAATACTAAATTTATATAATATAGTATAGTATTGGCTATGTATTAAAGAAATGCATTGTACTGTCGAAAAGGAAGTATTTCTTTCCATATGCTTTGCGCGCCCTCTTGTGGCTACAAAGAATTATGTGATGTACCTGTACTTTAATGAAAAATCTCTTGTATAGAAACCTACACTTGATATTGCTATTCAAATATTTCAAATTATGAGTTACACAATAGCATATTTTATTAATGCCTATTTTTTCATTGTAACGTTACTGAATTTAACCTCTCAATTTTCTTTCTAAATCTCTTAAGATATGATCCAAAAAGTGATTCGTGGTCAACTGTGGCACCTTTGAGTGTTCCTCGGGATGCCGTTGCTGTATGCCCCCTTGGAGACAAACTCTATGTGGTTGGTGGATATGATGGTCATACTTATTTGAATACTGTTGAATCATACGATGCTCAGAAAGACGAATGGAATGAGGTATTGTTAAAAATCTTCAAATTAGTATATTTCAGAATTTTAAAAGTTTTTAAAGCTTAAATATGGAATTGATTTCACATCATTCCTCTGTACAGACATTCCAGATCTCTTTCTCAGTAGAAAAGTATCCAAGAGTCCTAGATTCTGGCTTTGGCTTTATCACTGCCTCATTGTTTGGTCACTCAAAGCATAAAAGAGTACTAACAGAGAATGACAGTATAACTATACATGCCAAAGTCTTGTGATCCATTATTTCATTCAATCCTCACAAAATCTTTGAGTAGTAGTATCATTATCTGTGCTTTTTCAGCTGAGAAAAATGTCCCAAATATAAAAAATTATCCTAAAGCAACTGATCTTTTAGTCGAGATCTATTAGCACTCTAGTCTACAGTTTTCTTATTTTAGAACAAGGCGAAAGTTAGCTCAAAATAGGTGAAGCCTTTAAAGGCCCATGTTTTGGGTTATGCTAATGACAGTGTTTCGTTTCTTATTTGTGTTTTAGGAAGTCCCGGTGAACATTGGAAGAGCTGGGGCATGTGTTGTAGTTGTGAAGCTACACTGAATCTCTCATTAGCTACTGCAATGAAATGGAATTGCCTCAAGAATGAAGAAGAAATATGCTCTTTTATGAAGTTGATAAGCAAATTCAAATGCTGTTTTGTCATTTTCATATATAGTAGAAATCATTAACGTTCATAAGGCTGAAAAAAGTTAAATGTGGATTAAATGTTAGTGTTGAGTGTATGTGCTGTCTCAGATTATAATCTAATGAGAAATCCAATAGGCTATGTTTAGACTCATTACTATAAAATGTTACAATACCTAACAAAAATTTGGTAGTGGGCAGTATTTGAAGGTGATAAATACATTAATACTCTTCATGTAAGTGTCTAGGAAGTAAAAACATGTTTTTTTTATTAAAGGTACTCTACTGTTAGAAACAACTTAATATAAAAACATGACAGAAGCTTTGCAGCATAAAGTATGGTTTCAAACAATAGCTCACCCAGCTAATAATACCTCACATTTGCCAAGAAGAAAGGGATTTCTTTGTCAATGAGGCCGATCATTTATTGATGTAATTTGCTATACTAATCATACTATGTCAAACTTTTCACAGGTTATATTTTCAGTTCACTAACTGCCAAAATATATGTATAGATTTTCTAATCTCTGATGTGGTTTGTTGGTAGATTCATTTGCAGTAAAACATCATAATGTCGCATATACAATCTATATTCTGTAACAGTGAAAATTTTATTGATACAAACTGTGCCTGATCTTCAGAATGCGAGGGCCTCAGTTGCACAAAAATTAATTATTTCCTCAAGCATTTAATGTGTTCTTGATAAACACCTTCTCTTAAGTTAAAAAGTTGACATAAACAATTCTAAAGAAGATTACAGTTGAGAGTATGAAGCACAATGATAACATTTGGAAACACTGAAATGTTTAATATGCACAGTCAATTCTATAATTCTCTTTGCCTATCAATACCCTATTTTCTTTTAATTTCATAATCATGTTACCCAGCAGTAAATGGTAAGAACATATGTACTACAAACTACACTTTTGAAAACAAAAAACGAAAAAGACTATTTGAGTAGTATTTTAGCTTTTAACTATATTTTCATTTATCTTTTTTGTTTGTTTTTTGTTTTTATTTTTTATATATTTGAATTACAAACAAGATTGAATTACATAATGATCCCAGTTCCCTTCTCCCTCCCTTCCTCCTGTACCACCCCCCCAACTAAAATCCTACCTATCATTTATCTTACTTAATGATAAAACATGGTAAAATATTGAAAACTCATGTATATGAAGTTAACTTTTCAAGTAAATGTTCCATTTTAGAATTACTATAATATCTTGTCTTAAATGAACTTTGTATTGTAGACTATCACAGCAACCAACAAAATCCACAGAGATGGTTATAAAATGTACTACAACTACCACCAAATTTTTTAA